AAAAAAAAAAAAAAAAAAAAATTTAGACAGTTCTTCTAAATGTCCTAGAGGGCCCTGAACTTGCTACAGCCAAGGTGGATTTCCCTCTGGAAACTTCCTGCCCTGTAGTGTTCCCTAAATCACCCCATCATCCCTCATCTTTTAGACTCCCCGTCTTTGAGGCTTCCCTACCGTCTCTGTCCCACACAGCCTCCCTGACTGTCATCCAAGCCTCAGCTCCCATCTTGTGGCTTCTCAAGCCCTGTGCCCCAGGCCCCAGATGCCCTCTTGCCTGTGGGCAGTTGGACCCGCCCCCCCCCACCCTGCCCTCACCTGCTCCGCCTGGGGGGTCCTCGACAGAAGCTTGAGCAGCCCGACTGATGTCCCTGGAGCCTGAGGCCTAAGGCCCTGCCTGGCTCTTCTTGATGTGGCCCTCACCAACTGCTGCTGAGTGTTTAGCATATCAGTGTCCTGCCCCATCCCCTACCTCCACCTGCCAGCCATGGAACTGTCTTTGGGCCATCGCTATGGCAACTGGTCCCCAGCCAATCTCAAGGCATCTGGCAAAAAGCAGGACAGGTGAGGGTCGGCCAGGTAAGAAAGGCTGACTTCCTTCTGGGAGAGGAGAGTTTGGCACAATTCAAGGATTCGAGTCAGGCCTGACCATGTCCTGGCTCTGCTGCTGACCCGTGTAACTTGATATAAGTTCCCTGCCCCCACTCGGCCTGTGTTTCCCCATCTATCATTTGAAAGAGACTGTGGGGCTCAGCTCTCTTGAAGGGTCCTCAGATCCTGCAAAGACGCTCGGCTGGAGCCTATAGGAGGTCCTGTCCTTGTGCCTACCCCAGCCCCACCTGAGGTCTTGTGGGAAGGATAAAAACTCTCCTGAAATCTTCAAACCACCTGCCTTCCAGCCCCTGACAGGATAAGAAAGCCCAGGAAGGTGAGTGCTATGTCCAGGAGAGGCAAAAGGCAAACCGGGAGGCTCTGGAGGGAACAACAGCATTTTGGTTTTTCTGTTTGTTTTTGGTACTGGGAATTGAACTCATAATCTCGTGCTTGCCAGGCGGGTGTTGTGCCACTGAGCTATATCCCTGGCCCAACAACAGCATTATGATCTCATCCACGCTTCTCAGCCTTGCCAAAAGGCTTGGGGTGCCACACCCTGAGGGTCACCTGAGCTGACCACTACGACGGGCAGTACAGGGATATGGTATGGTGCTGAGAGCCCCAGGTGGACAGGCTGGCGCTGGAGGCATGGCTGACTGCTCACCAGCTCTGTGGTCTCTTCTCTGCTCCTAGGTTCAGGTCACACTTTTTTTCAGTTGGATTCTATTGGTACATTTTAGATATACATAATGATCACCTTCATCACAGGGAATTTGTACCTATACATGATATAATTTGTTTCTTTTTTTCCCATTCCCCTCCCTTCCCTTCAGCCCCTCCCCCTCCTCATTTACAAAATCTTTGTTTCCATTTTTTCTTTCTTCTCTCATTTTTCTTTACTTTTCCCTTCTTTCCTTCCCCCTCCCTTGTTCCCCTCCTCATCTGAACATTTTCTTCCTATTTTACAATGCTTATTATACATTTTGGTCCTTATTTGCACTTTCAGTTTCTCACACCAGAGAAACAATGGGGTATTTGCACATGTGTGTCTAATTTATTTCACTTAAGAGTGTGGTCTCAGGCTGGGGACATAGCTCAGGGGCACAGCGACTGCCCAGCAAGTGCGAGGTTGCAAGTTCAATTCCAGGTACCAAAAGAAAGAACAGTGTGGTCTCAAGGTGCATCCATTTACTTAGAAATGTCTTAGTCTTATCCTTCTTTATGGCAGGGTAGTACTCCATTGTATATAAAAAAAAAACACCACATCTTCTTTATCCATTTACCAGTTGATGGGCATTTGGGTTATTTCCAAGATTTAGCTATTACAAACTGTGTCAGTATAAACATGGGTGTGCATATATTGCTGTGGCATGATGCCTTTAATTCTTTCAGGAAGATACCAAGAAGGGGAACAACTGGGTTGAATGGTCTCTCTAGTCCTGGTTTTTTGAAGAATCTCCACACTGATTTCCACAGTGGGTGCAACAGTCTACACTCCCATCCACAATGAAGGGTTCCTCTTCCCCCCAGCCCACCAGCATTTGTTATTGGTTGATTTCTTGATAATAGCCATTCTTTCTGGGGTGATGTACGCTTGTTTTATGGACTAAATTGAGGTTGAACCTCCTTGGGTCGAGGGACCTGGGCCAGTGGTAAGCGGCGACACGGTGCAAAGAAGACATCAGAGACCAGGCTGATGGCGCAGATCCCCTTTATTGCGGAAGTACCAGGCATTTTATTGAGCAGGCTAGAGGCGTGGCAATGGAGGCGGGGCTAGGGGCGTGGTTTGGAGGCGGTACTTTTGGCGGGGTGGGGGGGGTGGCTGTGCGGAAGTAAGAGGTCAGAGCAGGACAGCCTAGGCAGGGCGACTCACTGGTGTGCTGAGGACATGACGAGTACGAGTGTGCTCAGACCCGCTCCTCTGCCACGGCCGTCAACCAGACCTCTGGACCTCTCTTTCCCACACTAAATGAAATCGCAAAAGCGATGCACTTGATAAATGTTTGTTAGTACGATGGTCAGTAATAACTGACTGATTTAGAGGCAGCAGAGGATCATACTTGAAGTGCAAGGGAAGCCCTTGGGTTCAAATCCCAGATCCTACACACGCCTGTCCCTCTCAGTGTCTGTGTTTCCCTACAGGCAATGTCTATATCTCACTCCGAGAGCCACTGTGAGCACTAAGCCAATTAATAACGTGTATGTGTTTGGGGGCTTGGAGTATTAGGGTGCTCTATCACTGAGTTACATCCACATGGTTTTTATGTTTGCTTATTTGTTTTGTTTTGCATTTGAGATAGGATCCCTCAGTTGCCTAGGCTGTCCTTGAACTTGCAATCCCCTGCTCCAGCTTCCCAAAGTGCTAGGATTACAGGTGTGAGCCGCCATGCCCAGCCGTCTTGTGGTTTTATATATAAACCTGCATTTTTTTTTTTTCAGTAAAAAATGGGATCATTTATTTTTTTCCTCTCTGGCATGGTATGTGCTTCTATCCATGTCAGTATATAAAGCCACCTCAGTCTTTACCATCTTTACCAGCAGAATGTACTTGACCTTTTCATCCTGTCAAACAGGGGCTCAGTGTCGCCCCCTGCTTATTCCTTTCTACAGACATTTCAGTCCTGGACATCTCTTTTTTTGTTTTTCTTTTTTTTTTTGAGTCCTGGACATCTCTATAAATGGGCCTTTCTGCAGGGTCAGTGCTTTTAAGCAAACTTTTGGCTGCAAGCAATTTACATTTTAATAGTGTACCATTATTTCCCCTGAATAATCCATCAATGTACATTTCCACCAAGTATTTACCCCATCACCAGCAAAAGTATATTATAACTTTCAAAAACCTTTGCTAGCCAGGCATGGTAGCACATACATGTAATCCCAGCTCTCAGTAGGCTGAGGCAGGAGGATCACTGTGAGTTCAAGGCCAAACTGAACTAGGTAGTGAGACCCTGTCTCAAAAAACCTAAATAAATAAATAAATAAAATCTTTGCTAATCTGACACACAATGACAAATATTCTCATTGCTACTAAAAGTTGGCTTCCCTTGTGTTACTTGTGGGATTTGTATATTTTCCTTTCTCTGTCTCTCCGTCTCTCTCTCTTTTACAGTACTGGAAAAAAGGACACATGCAAAGGACACGAACAGGTGACTCACGAAAAAACACAATCCATCAAGAAAGAGGTGGAGGCAGGAAGATCTCAAGTTTAAGGCTAGCCTGTGCTAATAGTAAGACCCTGTCTCAAACATGCCAAAAAAGAAAAAAGAAAATACAAGCTGGGTATGGTGGTGCTTCATGCACTAAATGGGGTGCTAAGCAAGCAGTTTTTTTGTGTGGAGGGTAATGGGAATCGAATCAGGACCTTGCACTTGCCAGGCCGGAACTGTGCCACTGAACCACTGAGCTATCTCCCTGGCCCTAAAGCAAGCAGTTCCACTACTGAGCTATATCTCAAGCAATTTTATTTTTTACTTTGAGACAGTTTTGCTAAATTGCACAGGCTGACCTGGAACTCACGATCCTCCTACATCAGCCTCCAGAGCAGCCGGAATTATAGGCATGAGGCACCATCATATCCAGCTTGTATTTTCTTTTTTCCTTTTTGGCAAGGTTGAAAAAAGGGCCTAACAATAACAAAAGCCAACCCTAAAACTGAAAACCTCCCGCCCCAAACCCCTTCCTGAAGGAATAATTGGGGTTTCCTGGGAAGCAACCGGTCCGGGCCCTTGCATTGTCCCTTTTTGGTCCTCAGGAGCACAGGGGTAAGTTTATTGTATTTCTTATCTCTCATCATACAAACAGCATCACTGGATGTAAGGCCACCCTCTTGTTTTGGTTCAATTTTTTTTTCTTCTTTCTTTGCTCCTCACTCCTATGCTACTGAAAAATGAATGGATCCTTGTGAAATATCTAATCTTGTCTTGTTTTGTTTTTTGAGACAGCAACTTGCTTGGTAGTGCAGGCTGGACTTCAACTCACTATGTAGCCCAGGCTGGCCTCAAATTTGTGGTGATCTTCCTGCCTCAGCCTCCCAAGTGCTAGGATTTCAGGTGTGTGCTACCATGCCCAGCTTAAATTATTATTTTATCTTTAGACAGGATCTGACTATCTTTTTGCAGGGTGGGCTTGAACTTGAGCTCTCTTCCTGCCTCAGTCTTCCAAGCAGCTGGGGTTACAGGCATGTGGCAATGTGCCCAGAACAGTTCACTTTGCTTAAAATTTTTATGTTTACTCACAAACAATTATGTATAATATTCTCTGGCATTTTGTTGCTTTAAAATGCTCTGCTTTGCTCCACTGTGATCAGCTCCTGTGGGGCCTGGTGGTGATGGAAAGGATTCTGTTTTTTTTTTTTTTTTCTTGTAGTACTGGGGGTTGAACCCAGGGCCTTGGGCATGCAAAGCAAGAGCTCTACCCCTGAGCCACATCCTCAGCCCTCTGGATTTATCTTAAATTGAGGGAAAGAGTTACAAGGGATTGGAAATTGCCCCTGAGACTGCAGGATAGAATGAATGTGGAGTTGCTGCTGGTCAAAATACTGTATGCATGCCTGTAATCCCAGTACTTGGGAGGCTGAGGCAGGAGGATTTTGTGAGTTCCAGGCCAGCCTGAACTGCATAACGAAACCCTATCTAAAAAAAAAAAGGAGGAAAAAACTTCTATTAGCATTCTCTAGAGAGACCAAACCAACTAGATATGTATCTAAGTATATGAGAGACAATTTTTGTAAAGGAATTAGCTCATGCAATTACAGTGGCTGAGAAGTTCCTTGACCAGTCATGTGTCTGCAGTCTCCAGCCTGCAGTCTGGAGCTAGCAGTGTGGCTCAGGCCTACTCAAGGAGACCAGTATTGCAACTCCCTGGCCAAGGCCGAACCCTGAGGGCCCGGGGCCCACTGGGGTAAGCATGAAACTGGACCTCTGCTGTCCAAGGCAGCAGCAACAAAATCCACCCCAGCTCTGAGCAA